ATATTAAAAATTTATTATATTTAATTCAATGCTTAATTATGATTAATAATTTGAATTTGAATATTTTAGTGTTTCGATAGTTTCAGACAACCATATGGAAGGTAATATTTAAAATAAAATCTACTTTAATTAAAGCTTGATATTCTTCTTTTAATCTTTGCACCCATATTTCTTTATCCCTAGGACCTGCTTTCGTTTGCAGCAATGGAATATTACTTAATGTTTTCTTCGTTGATTCATCTACCATCATAAGCTATTATAATTACTACCGGTATTAATTAAAGTTTATAATTTCTGTCACTTCGAACACCAAATCCATAAGGCGTGCTTCAAGTTAGGTTCTGTACCGATGTTACAATGTATATATGGAGAAGTGTGAGAATAATCGATATATCGAAAAGATCCATATATAGAGATATTTGAAACGTTAGTTACAATTATATCTGACAAATTAAACTTACATCTTATTTAAATAAACATTTTTATTCTATCACATTCAGTTTCATATGAAAAAAACAAGGATTGAAAGTTCATCTTGAGGTATTATCTATTTGTAATTGAAACTTGATTGATCAGTGGTTAGTCACCTTGCAAAGGTGGTGATATTGAACTTTTTAAGTTGCGTGCATTTCGATTTGATTTGCTGTCCGGTTTGCTTGAACGTATTGTGTGAAAAACTGTGACATGTTAATCGGTAATCGAAAAGAAATATTAATTGAAATAAAATAACATTGATGCATCATGGCTGATTCATCTTATGAAAAAGGACTTACGGAACTTTCAAAAATGAAGGTAACTCGATTGTATCTTGTTGATACAATTCAGCACCCGGGAAACTAAAATGGTGTATAGATATTAAGATTATAAAATGAAAAAATATATAATTGTAGATAAATATTATTAAATAGGTTGCAGATTTGAGAATTGAATTGAAGCAAAGAGGACTTCCTACTACTGGTAATAAAACTGAATTGGTAGAAAGGCTTCAGTTAGCAATTCATGGTGGTATATGTTTTTGAATGAATTTTGACCTATAATTTTTTTCTGTGAGAACTATATATTGATAAAAGAATGTTTTCACTGTTAGATTCTGCATTATCTTTGGATGAAACTACAGAAGAAATTTTAGATGAAGATGCAGTCCTTGGAGTAAGTTAGAAATAAAATTAATACATTAACACCTTGTTGGGATTAGTGTAAGAATGTTATGCAAGTTAGAAACAGGATATATTGTAAATTTTTAAATTTATAGTGGAACTTCTTCAAACTTAGAAAACACTGTAACATTTCTTTTGAGTTAAAATTTTGGTCTTTGGCATAATTTTTACATGGTTAATTGTTATAACAGTGTAAAAATTGTGGAAATTCTGCCCCATCACAAAACTCATATGTGTGGAACAATACAATGTAATGAAGGATTACCAGAGCATTTAAAAAATCTGAAACTTAAATGTGGGGAATTGATATATTGCTAATAATTATAAAAAGAAAAATATAAGATTGATTTCTATCCATAATTCTGAAAGGTGTTAATATATTATCCACTTTGTAACATAGTACTGATAATGTAATTATAAAAAATATATTTCCTTAAACAGGATGAAGAAATAGAAGAATTATCAAGTAAACCTGATTCACAAGAAGTTAGTGAAAAAAGAAAATTATCTACTGAAAGTAATGTGAGTGCAAAGAAAATAGTTCTAAACCGAAAACCAGTAATTGAAGAAGTCAAGAATGAACAAACAGAAAAAATTGAAACTGATCCAAAAATCACTGAGACTGCACCACCAGAAAGAAAAATAATTAAACTCTCAGAGCTTAGTATTAAAGAGGTAACAGTTAATTTAAATTATACTTTCCTACATTATATAAGTTAAAAATTAAGTATAAAATGTTAATATAATCTATATCATTGTATAGAGATTAGAAATGAGAGCTAAGAAATTTGGATTGCCTTTGTCTGAAGCTGCAAAAAAAGAAGTTAGATCTGCAAGATTCAGTATTAATAACCAAAATAACAAATCAGCTGCATCTGTAAAAACACCTGTGGTATAGATATATATAAAAATATTTACATATTAAAAAAGGAAAGACAGTACAATATATTTTTGATCCATATAATTTATTTATGCATTTGCAGCATACAACCTATGAAGTTCTAAAGAAACGAGAAGAAAGGTTTGGTACTTCTGTCTCTAGTTTAATGGAAAAGGTAGTAAGTTAACTAAAATAAACTAATTTACATTTTAAATGTATTATGTATATAAGTTTCATGACTGCAATTTGTTTTAGGCTGAATTAGAAGCCAGAATAGAAAAAAGAAAAGCTAGATTTGGCGAAGTAAAACCTGCAAATGAGAAAGTATTTTATAATAAAATTAAAATTGATAAAATTAAAATTGATAAAATTAAAATTGATAAACTTAAAGCTGAGTAAATGATATTCAGTGTTATATATTAAAACAGCAACTTAGATTGCAAACTTTACTTTAAGTTTTCTTATTTTCAATATAATTATTGTATACATAATGAAGGATCATTGTATTTGTTATAAAATACTTTGCATGATAAGTTTAACAGATCTT